AACTGAGAAACTCGTAATCAGAAAGTGAGCTTGTATAGTAAGGGGAAAACGAATTTTCAACCAACCAGAAATGAGGAGGAAGAGGATCGGTCGAAATGGCTAGTGATTCTGACTGATACATCGAAATTACCTCCCCTATTTGTTTCGTTTTGTAAAGTACTCAAGAGACAAAAAAGACCCGGTCAGGATGAACCGGTTATCTTATGAAAAAACTTATCCTATAACATTAGAGGCTTAGGAAACTTAAGAAAATGAGAAGGATAGTAGAACAACATCATATTGACTATTCTTGCAGGAAATTCAACTGGGCAGCCCAGCCAATTAAGCCAAGGATACCTACTGGAGTCGTTTTCAGTAGTCTTTATCCCCATTCCAACACCCCTTTAAGTAAGAAAGTAAAAATCGGCCTGATTCAGAAGAAGAGAATGAAGGCCTCACTTTCCAACACCGAAACTAACGACTCCTTACTGGATCAAATTGGGCATACCAATAAACTCTGGCTCATTGATTGACATCTCTAATCTATATAAACAAACATTATCCCGCATTAAAAAGGCAGGAACTATAAATGTTTTTGGATATGGAATGTTTATACATGGGGGATTATAACCAGATCAGACTCACCCTTAACTAGATAAAGCTAAAAGGGCAATCGAAGATCTGCTGATCGTCTCATGTCTACATTCAGAGAACTGCTCAGTATAATCTAACTGGAATTAAATAATGGAGTTTTTACCTGGTCTAATCGACAAGAGGGAGTAGAATCCGGGAAAGGCCCTATGGAGTAAAGGGAAGGTATCATGGAGAACGAATCTATCTTACTTGAATCCATTCTCACCACTACTTGGAAGGGCTGATCATAGACCTATATTAATGACAACCAAGGAGAAGCCCTATACTTTTGAGGATGGATCCATATCTAGACTGGGGCTTCTGAATGCAGAATGTATACAATTGATTGAGAAAACTTGGAATGAAACTTCCAGGAATTTGAAAGCTCTTGCCTACTGCTTTAACCGAAGACTAGTACTAGTAGTAGTAGCAATTCAACAACGACTAAAGGCCCCTACTGAAAATTCAAAAGGCGAAGGAAATGCATGTTAAAAATACAAAACAAGCAAAAAAGGTGTGAATGAAAAAGGAAGATTAGAACAAGCAAGTAAGAGAGAACCACATGCAGAACACATAGAGGACTATTGTATGTATAGAAGATTGGAAGCTCAGCTTTAAGTCAAGAAGGGTAGGGGAGCCGCTGCGCCTACAATCTCGACAGTTTTGGTGAAAAGGTTTTTCTTTTTCCCACGCATCTATTAAGAAACGCAGAATCCACACTTTCATCAATTTGAAATGCCCAATAGGCAGGCCGAGTATTGGTTCATCATGAGGAGATAAGGACAGAAGTTATGAAATTGTTCTCACACTTATCCATCTTATCAAGCCAACAACATATAGCAACAGTCCATCAAATATTTCAAAAGTCCTCCAAGCAAAAAAAAATTATTCAATCTGGTAAACTATCTATCAACAACAGGGGGCTGTTCATAGTCAAAAACTACTAGACTAGATGGATTCCAACTAAACTTTCACTTCTACTTGGTTGATTAATGCAGGGGCAGTGCTGGAACATAATTAAGGAAGATCTTCATCTCCATATGGTAATTGAAGTCAAACAGGAGCAAACCGGGTGCAATTCAATCCTTCTTCCTAGCAATGATTCCCAAAAAAGCAAAACCTCACTAGACCGAGGCCCATTGCTATAGAAAGTACACTGTATAAGAGAATGACTAAGGTAATTGCCAATCTATTAAAAGACAGGCTAGCTCTTTAAAAAAGGCGTCCTCCTAATCTCATTTGGATAGGAAGAGATATTGATGATTATCCCAAGGATGCTTACTACTCAGCTGATAGATCAGGTGAGCCAGCCATGATCACTAAACTTGCCAAACCAGCAACATATGAAAATTTGAATAATAGGTTTCTATATGCTTAAGGAAAATTGGATATTTCTAGTGGAATATCTTTCACAATCCCTGGAGAGATGGTTCACTAATAGACCGAGGGATAAGTAATTCGACTCATTCATATCCAGATCATGAATGTTTGGAATTCATATTATGCAAGGAAACATTACTTTTGCTAATTCGAATTGAAGGGTGATATAAAATTGGTCTATTTCTGGCATCATATCCATAGTTAGCGCATTCATCATAGTTAGCAGTTCCAGCTCTGTATCAAGGTCACGATCGATATCGTCACTAGCATCAATATTGTCACTAGAATCAATATCGTCACTATCATCAATATCGTCACTATCATCAATATCGATATCATCAATAAGAAAACCTTTAGGCTTGTTATCCAGGAACTTGTTCAGAAATACCGTAATGAAAGGAACATAGGAGTTTGTCGCTAGGTATTTGACCAAATAGGATCGTCCAGTTCCTATAAAACCTATCACTAAAATACCCCTAGAGGGGGATAAGGCTAAGCGGAGCGAAAAGGGTTTTCCATGAGATGGGAAATGAAAACTATTAGCCCCACGCGAGGTTTGTGAATAAGTGATTGTCTGATAATGAGCAAGGAATATCCGTCTTTCTACTAAACAGGATGTATTGAACTCATAATTCATTAGATACTTTTTATGAATGTCAACTAAGTATCGTAAGTCAATTGCTCCCGGTTGTTCAATCATTTGATAACTAGAGTCATTCTTTGATAAATGATCACTATGAGTCAGACTCAATAGAATTTGATCAATCTTTTTTTCTGTTGTTGGGATTCTCTTTGAATGAAGAATCCCATCTGAAACTGCCTCTTAACCCCTGTAGATTCAAGCGATTCTGCTATTGATGTGAATATTTTTCTATCATCCTCTTGTTCCCTGTATGTTTATACCAATCCCGGCTAGATTAGAACCCCTTCTATGTATCCCTCTCTTTCCTGCTATAAGAGAGTGGTCTGCCTCTCTTCCTTCCTTTAGTAAGTACTAGAGTAGTAGATGCGCTTAGTTACCAGTCACTATTCCTAAATCAAGATAAGAAACCTCTTCCTCTCTCTGAGGGCTTGCTTTTGGGATATGAGTTTCAGCTTTTACCTCTGTCACCGATTGATCATTGATTCTTTTCTGGGCTTCTTGCGCATTCCTCATTGATTGCTTGCTCCTAGGCGCCTTAACGAAAAAAAAGAGATGCTCAACAAGGAAATCGGTAATAAAGGGAGATATTCCTCGCTGAACACCAACTGAATGCGGCAATGAATCCGAATAACTAAGAAAAAAAGCACTCCAATTTGATGTTTCACACAATCCTCGCGCTTACATTCAAGCAGGTTCAACCTCGAGGGAATTCCTTATCTTATAAGTAGCTCATTTCCATCATTCCACTAGAGGTCCGACTGGAACCAGAAAGCCAAACTTGGCCTTTAGTGCTAATTTAGTTGAATAACTTCACTTTGATTCCCACCTCTTGGGTTATGCTGGTACCGGCTTTGGAAGTCAATTGTTCTTCAGTGCGACCCGTTATGATGAGTATTGGCGTGGGGGGTTGAGCCACATTAGTTAGCGCATCTTATCTTTTCTTTAATGGCATGCTGGCGAGAATCAATAATAAATAATAGTTGTCGTCCTCGGGGGGAACTAGAATACCCTTTTTCTGCGTTTCGTCAATAGAAGGATGATTCCCGAATTATTCGACTCACCCACTTCCTTCCTTCCTTCCTTCCTTCCTTCCTTCCTTCCTTCCTTTATTTCTTTTCTCTGTGGCAAGCTTGACTATATAGGGCAGCCATAGAGAAATTTTCATAAATAGAGAATCGGGCTTCGTGCCACTACTATCTGTTCGACTACTTGACCCGATTGGTCCATTACGTTGTTCCAACAGTAAGTACCCGCTTTGAACTGGTCAAGGCTTCTTTTCTAGTCTGATTAGCATCTCCGCCCTTTCTTTTAAGAAAACCCGTCCATAGAATTATGAATGGAATGCCTCTTCTTTGCTTGTTGTGTCTAGTGAAAGGATCACGGAATTGACTTATTCAGATGAT